GTGTGTGTGTGTGTGTGTGTGTGTGTGAGTGTGGCTTCAGCCCTGAACAATTTAGAGCCAGTCAACAATGCAGCTGTGGTGAGTGGGGCCGCTTCAAAGTATTTATCTACACATGCCTCCAGTGACCACCAAGTGTGGATGGCTAAGTTTAAGCTCTATTCATAGATGTGAATGAATGAGCACTGTGCCAGAGGGAGTTTTATCACTGTGACTGTAAACAACAGCAGAGTGAATCAACAGGTAGGAGCTCAAGTAGCCGTGGGATGGAGATTTTCAGAACTCGGTGCAGATTTGTACAGTGTCTGCTGTCGAGTCAAACAAGCAACGTGAGGCCAGGTTGCACACTAAGCAATCTGACAGGATACAGAATCTAGAATATGACCTCTTTCTTTGTTTCTCACCACATCCCAATCACTCTCTGTGCAGCTGACGTGAAGGTACCGGCTTGCTTTGTGCTCATATCTGCCAGAGACAGACAAGAGGGATGGACGATACTATCACAGGATCTCTCGCACCTTCATCAGCGAAACCCACTGCGTGTTCCGAGTGTCGTGCAGACGTAAAACAGTCCTTTACACAAGTCAAACACGGCCTTATCAAGATGATGGGTTTCCCTATAGCTCACACAGTCACAACACATTCCTGCAAGAAAACACATTCAAGATTAAATATTACCCGATTTGATGTTTGCTCGAAAGGAGACATGCTGTATTCACCACTTGTTGTCTTTTCTGCACAGATGGCACACAAACAATCATGCTTACAGTATATTTCAATAAAGTAGGACTGTCACTTATGGTGTTAATGTCAGCTCCTCTATAAAACTAGACTGGCTCTCAGTATAGAGCACGCATACCTCCACCAAGGAAAACCAAAGTTAAACTCACTAGATGTGGATTCTTATTTGCACCAAAATATACATAAATATCAGTAGCCTACACTTGGCTGATTTTTTTCATCAAGATCCATGAAGTATTCTCTGAAAAATCAGGCAAAGTCTTGCAAAAGCCCGATGTTAAAGAAAGTGGGAAAAATAATCCTGGATCCCTCCCCTTATCAAGATCCATGCTAAAGTCTAACACGTTCTTCCCTTAACCCATACTGCATACTTTTACTAAATTTCGTGGTAATCCATACAGCATAGAGAAAGACAAAAATCCTTGTCACTTCATCTTAAACGGAGTTGTGACCTGTTTCATTATTTGCTTGAACGTGCAAATGGGGCATGTTTGAATGAATCACCATTTAACTTCCCCCCAAAGTGTGTTTCTCACAGCGCATTTTGCATTTAAGTCACAGAATTAAGCATCTGTTTTTCTAAAGGACGAATCCCTGGTGATCGTTCAATATCCCAAAACTTAACACAGCTTCGACAGCACAGTCTTCCCTCCATCTGGAATAAAAAAAGGTCTATTCTCTTCATACTAAGAGCTGTGTCTTACTCCTCACCCAAGTTAAGGCAGATACATATTCTGTATCCCAAACTGTTATTACAGATTGTTTGGTTTTTTTTACATTAAAGCATAATTTTATGTTGTTGTAAAAATGAGCAAAGATATTGCAACACAATTTTTTTTTTAACTAAGAAATACAATCTCAGGAGAATGAAAATTTGTTGTGAGCCAGACTCCACGTTTTTTGATCCAGACAGACCTTGAAGAGTTTTCAATTCTCTAAAGAATTCTTCAAATCTTTTCTGTATTGTTAAAACAACCTTGTGGGTTTTTGAAACATCAGTGCGGTTTATCTTTTAGAAAAAACATGCTTAACTCTGTGATTCAATAACGCCAGAATGAGAGGAACAAACAGCACAATTTTTTGGTTCCACAAAATGACCTGTTTTTTTAGTGTGACTTTCTTATTTGAGTGTTACTAAAGGGTTCAATGTTTCTGCCTCCCATCCAGATTATCACCAGAGACAAAGAGAGGAGGATGGTGCATCACAGAGAAGAGGACCTGATTGGGATCCCCTTCCCCAATCACAGCAGCGACGTCCTCTGCAGCCTCAATGAGCAGCGGCGTGACGGGCTGCTCTGCGACGTAATCCTCATCGTCCGTGACCAGGAGTACCGCACCCACCGCTCCGTCCTGGCCGCCTGCAGCCAGTACTTCAAGAAGCTCTTCACAGTTGCCACCGTTGATGGTGGAGATCCCCATCACACTGCAGCCGTGTACGAAATTGACTTTGTGGCCCCGGAGCCTCTCACAGCCATCCTGGAGTTTGCCTACACCTCCACTCTGACCGTGACGGCGTCCAACGTTAAAGAGATCCTGAACGCGGCTCAGATGCTGGAGATCCCGTGCATCATCAACGTTTGCCTGGAGATCATGGACAGCGGTGGTGGAGAGGGCGGCGGTGGTAGGAGGGAGGAGGATGAGGAGGAAGAGGAGGATGTGGAGGAAGATGAGGAGGAGGAAGAAGAGGAAGAGGATGAAGAGGAGGACATGGGGTCGAGGAGGGATGACCAGGATGAAGAGGAGGACAACGTCAGCGAGAGGTCACTGCAGTCGTCGGTGAGCCGAGGGGAGCAAACGCCTCCAGGGATGGAGGAGTCGCAGCCTCCGAGCACCTCCACCTACCAGCAGCAGTTTGACGTGCACAGAGAGTCATCACAGTCCCAGTCTCCAGACAACATGAGGGGGAAACAGGTAAGTTCACTGGAMAAAAAAAAAAAAAGACAAATACATTTTTCTAGGTTTATGGCTTATGATGCTGTGATTGTGTTGCAGGAGAGTATGGAGAGTCGGGCTCTGAAGGATTTCTCCATTGAGTCCCTCCTCCAGGAAGGGCTGTATCCACGCATGTCAACACTGGATCGAAGGGCCAGCTTCACCCCTCTCCTCCCTGGCTTCTACCCCTCCATGTGGGCTGCAGAGTTCCCAGCCTTCCCTCAGCAGCTCCTGGATCCCAGCCACCATCAGCACCCCCATGCAGGCGCTTCACTGCCAACCAGGCTCCCCCACGCATTCTCCACCTCCGCCCCACGGGAGAACTCCAGGCCTCTCGACCTAGCCGTGAAGAGAGAGGTCATAAAGGAGGAGATGAAAGAGGAAGTCCCGCCCAGTCTGCTTCACGGTGACTTCCTGAAGGAGTTTGTCAGCTCGGGCCTAGGCGGCACCGTGAACGCCGGGTCGGTGCCGTCAGAGGGTCACGCTCTGGGTCAAATTAAGGATGAGGCTGACTTCCGCTCGTACCTGAGCTTCCTGAGCTCAGCATCCCACCTGGGGGCACTCTTCCCTCCCTGGCAACTGGAGGAGGAGAGGAAGATGAAGCCCAAGGCTTCACAGCAGTGTCCAATCTGCAACAAGGTCATCCAAGGAGCCGGGAAGCTGCCACGACACATGAGGACGCATACGGGAGAGAAACCATACATGTGCACGATCTGTGAAGTCCGATTCACCAGGTATGTGAAACAAGTTGCTCAAGTCACAGAGAGATCATGTTGAGATATCAATGTTTTCCTGTGTTTTGAATAGAAAGCAGCAGCAGGGTATGTCAAACAGAACCGTTAATGGAAAAGTACCCCATGCTCTTAAGACTGAGGTTAATCTGCTTTGATCTCATCTGAATATGAAAGAGCTGAAAGTGGAAAGCCCCCCCCGCATTTTTTTTTGCATTAGTGATAGGTATCTCAACTACATCCTTCTTCTTTGGTCTATTTTCCACCGACTTTTTAGAGCAAAACATAGTCAGTGGAGAAACTATGTGTCATACTAGATCAAATTCTCTTCAAATACAATATTGGCTTTTTAAATTCACTCGTATGGGACAAGATCTAAAAGGCAGCTTTGTAATTTAAGTGTGAACCTTTCAAACCAATGAGATTGTGTAAGAAAACGTGTGGTTTTTGATCTTTTCTCAGACAAGACAAGCTGAAGATCCACATGAGGAAGCACACAGGCGAGCGCCCCTACATCTGTCTGCACTGCAACTCCAAGTTTGTCCACAACTACGACCTGAAGAACCACCTGCGAATCCATACTGGCGTCCGTCCCTACCAGTGCGAGCACTGCTACAAAAGTTTCACACGATCCGACCACCTACATCGACACATCAAGAGGCAGAGCTGCCGAATCTCCCGCCCCCGGCGAGGGCGAAAGCCTGCCGCCTGGCGCACCACCCCCAACAGCAACTTCCTCTGCCCCCCCACTGCCGCCACCAACCGGTTTGAGGAGAACGGGTTAAGCCCTGCCTACCAGGCAGTCAAGAGTCACGGACTTGGGGAGATGCTCGGCCTCGGCAGTAGGGGTCTGGGTATTAAGAGCTTGGATGGCTCGGGCAGGGAGAGCAGGGAGGAGCGGCGAGCAGAAGGGAAGCACGCCAAAGAGGAGGAGAAGGCAGGAGGAGGGAGGCAGAGAGGAGTGTTCGCCTTCGCTCTGGCTGGAGAAGAAGTGCTTACCCACTCTCCATTTTATGCTGCGACCTCTGACCCCTGGACCATGAGACTGGAGCGCGCTCCACCCATCTCTGAGCCAGCCAAATGAACTCTGGTCTGCGGAAGACGACAAAAGACAAGAAAGAAAATCTCTTTAATCTCCATGTCTGATCAGTTCCAGGAAGCTAAAGCACCTTTTTTAAAGAAACAAAAAAGTGAGATTGATGAACTAAGCCTACTTATGTTTTTTTTTTTTCAAATTGGAAAATGCAGTCTTATTAAAGAATATCACAGATGTCATGTTAAATTATAGTTTCAGCCCTGTGGATATTTGCAGATAATTTGAAAAGAGGTTATGTGGAGAGCATGTCAGAGTACTGTGATGTGCAATTAGCATTGTTTCTCTAATAATTTTAGTTAAAAATTTATTTCAACAATGTCCTCTCAAGCAAGATAAAATCAGGCTTTTATTTTGAAAATAATTCATATGCAAGAAAGTGTTTCCTACATCCAGAGCGGGACTGAT